GGAATCCGGAGGGCAGGAGTTGCTATCCCGACGTTGCGCAAGAACCTACCTTGTCACGCTGAGCTGTGTGGAGGCGAGATGGGTCCGATATTCCGCTCTCCCCTGGGGCTTTTTTCTGGCTGTTTTCAGGCCGATTAAAGGGAGGCTGATGAGTGCCGGGTCTGTGCAGCACGACTGCTGGTCCTAGTAGGCGCTGAAAGGCAGCAAAGCAGAATTAGCCGGCACGGTGAGCAGGTAACAAGCAGAAAAAAAAACAACTTGTGCCTCAGACGAGCCAGGGACAGGCTCTAGTTTTATGCTTTGGGTGCATTTCCCTGAAAAATTTGCCGTACTGGAACCTGAAGTGCAGGAAAGGGATGGCAAACACCCTTCTAGTAACTCTCTTTTAAATTATCAATGGAAAAACAACCCCACTTGTATTTGAAGACCGTGCACCTTCCGTACTCTCCTTCAAGGAAGTGAAGCAATACAGACAAACCACAAGACCTTGAGGCACCAAAGGCTGTTACAGCCCTCTTTTGCCAGAAACTCATAATCCAGCCTTTATTTTCCTAGGCAGAGGGCTGGGACTCAGTACTGGCCTGAGGTGGGATGCTCTCCAGAGCGTCACCTTTGAAAAACTAAGCCTTAACACTGAGACTTGCTCTTCTTTCCCCCTAGGTCAATGTTGGGTGTGTGCCAAAGAAGGTAAGGGTGCTTTTACCAGCAATGCCTTGGCCGTGGGTTGGGCGTGGTGTGGGTGCCCGCCAAATTGTGGGGAGGTGCTGGCATGGGGTGTGGGGAGGAAGGAGCGGGGAGGAAGAGCATATTGAGCCATCGAGATGCCATGAAACGCTCAGACCTGTGTCCCATGGGCTGCTCCGGGCAGAGGTGCGGCATCGGGAAGCATGGCAGGGGTTTTTCCCAAAATCAAACCAGTCTTCCCGAGCCGACGTGTGGTTTGTGCGAGCAGGTGATGTGGAACGCGGCGGTCCATGCGGAGTTCATCCACGATCACGCCGACTACGGCTTTGAAACTCCCAGCGTCAAGTTCAACTGGAAGTAAGTATGGAAAGAGCAAGTTGGAAACAAGCATCTCCCAGTGCGTGTCCCATGGGGAGCAGCCACAGGTCAGTGCCGCAGCCTCATGGCTTGTTGTCAACCCCAAAGGGATCTCTGCTCGCTTTGAGGCTTCCCATGGATGGATGCTGAGCTGGTTACGCAGTCAGGATTCCTGCTATTTTGGAAAGGAGGGGTGGCAAACCGGCCGTGGGGAAGAGACTCTGGAAAAGACGGGTGAAGAGAAGGCAGGCAAAAAAACTTCGCTTCGGTGGGGAAGCTTACTGCCTGTTGGGTAGCTCAGGACTGTTTTATTGTGTGGCTTGGGTGCCTCATACTGAAAGGACCGAATCGTTTTTCACTGAGCTCTGTAGTTTCATTCACTCGTGGTGATAGTAAGCCCCTGCTCTGTTCCAGAACAATTAAAGAGAAGCGTGATGCTTACGTGAGGCGCCTGAACGAGATCTATGAGAATAATGTAAAGAAGGTGAGGATGTGTTTATCCCGCGAGCCGAGCGGGGAAGAGGGCTCTGCTGGGTTTTAAAGCTTTTCCAGCTTTAATGGGTATCCTCTAACTGTGGAAGCCCTGGCTCCGTTCGCTGGCTCTCGCACCTCCTCCTGCTGTTAGTCATGTAACCGTTACAACCCTCAGGCTCACATCGACATCATTCGGGGCTATGGCAAGTTCACCGCCGATCCCAAGCCTACCATCGAAGTGGACGGGAAGAAGTACACGGCTCCTCACATCCTGATAGCCACGGGTGGGCGCCCAGCCGTCCCTCCTGACAGCAAAATTCCTGGTGAGCCTGACAAAATTCCCCAGGTTGCCTGGAGAGAGGTCTGCCAAAGCCAAGTGGGTTTTGGGAGGTGGAGGTGGGAAGGGGGGAGATGGGGAGGGATGTGAAAGGGGCTCTGCTTTGCAGGTGCCAGTCTGGGGATAACCAGCGATGGCTTCTTTGACCTGGAGGAGCTGCCCAGGTAAAGCAGGGCTCACCCCCAGCCACCACCACCGCCGCTGGCTCGGTGTGCCTGCACACGGCATCGTCGCTTCTCCGCAGGCGCAGCGTTATCGTCGGTGCCGGCTACATCGCCGTGGAAATCGCAGGGATCCTTTCCACGCTGGGCTCCAAGTCATCCCTGCTGATCCGCCACGACAAGGTAGTACTGCTGGCTGTCCCCAGCCGTGCTTCCCACCCAGCAGCCACATCCCAGCCCACCGGGGTTTACTGGTTATCAGCTGCCGTGAGCTGGTAAAGGAGGGTCTGAGTCAGCACAGGCTCAGGAGGGTGGAAATGGCGATGCAGAGGATGGTGTGGCATTAGGCTGTTGGGTGTAAGGAGGGGCTGGAGGGGGTAGATGGGGCAAGAAGAAGAGCGTAGGTGTGCTGTCAGGAGGGTTTTGACAGCACCGACCCACACACCCAGGATTTCTGCAGCTGCACATGCCACCGCACCCGTTTCCTTGAGCTTTATTTCAAGTTGCGACTCGAAAAAAAAAAAATCAAGGAAAAACAAACAGAGGAGAACTTTATCATTAACCAGAAGTGCCCCAAACCCCTCTGTGCTCAACGGAGGGGGCTGCCAGGCAGTGCTTTTGCCTGTGGACCCTCATCTGATGGGGCTGGTGGGTTCCTGCCCAGGTCCTGAGGACCTTCGACTCCATGATCAGTTCAAACTGCACCCAGGAGCTGGAGAACACTGGGGTGGATGTCTGGAAGCACACACAGGTACAGGCATGCAAAGCAACCCCACAGCTTGTCCTGTCTCTCCTGGAGAAGCAGGGCCAGGGGAAAGCTGGTGTTTTGGGCACCGTTTGCCAGGCCACGGCTCTGGCAGCATCCCTGGTCCTGCGGCGCAGCTGCCGTTGCCCGTTGCGAGGCAAAAGCCATCGGCACCTTCTCCCTCTGTGGCTCCTGTTGTTCCCTGCAGGTCAAGATGGTCACCAAGTCCTCTCATGGGCTGCTGGATGTGACAGTGACCTCCTCGGTGCCTGGCCACAAGCCAACTGAGGGAACGATCCAGGATGTTGACTGCCTGCTGTGGGCCGTGGGGCGGAGGCCCAACACTGAGGAGCTGTGCCTGGACCAAGTGGTGAGATGGCAGCACATCCCTTCCGTGCTGGTGCAAGGATGCCAGCACGTCTCCAGGGGTCCCACGGGTCTCCGGGGGTCCCACAGGTGTCCATGGGTCTCCAGGGGTCCCATGGATCTCCAGAGCCTGCTGCAGAATGGTGTTTCTGCCATGCCTTTCCCTGGTGGGAATACGGCAGTCACCAGCACAGGTCCCCCATGGGCATCACTTGTCCCATCCCTCCTGGGGCGTATGGCGGCTGCCATTTTCCGTGGCAGGGCGTGCAGGTGGACGCCAAGGGCCATGTGGTGGTGGATGAGTACCAGAACACCACCAGGAGAGGGATCTACGCCGTCGGGGATGTCTGCGGGAGAGCCCTCCTCACCCCAGGTACTGCGGCCATGCCCTCCTCCCCTCCACAGCCCCTCAGTGCTGTGCCATGCCACAGCTCAGGCTCCCCATCCCTCCCCACAGTGGCCATTGCTGCTGGCAGAAAGCTGGCCCACAGGCTCTTTGAGGACAAGCCCGACTCCCGTCTGGACTACCATGACATCCCCACCGTCGTCTTCAGCCACCCGCCCATCGGCACCGTGGGCCTCACCGAAGGTGGGGACAGAGAGGGCATGGGGGCGGGCGAAGAGGCTGGGGACATTGTGGCTCAGGTGGTTTGGTGCTTGAGGAAATGATCTGCACTCCAGCAAGCGGTCTGAGCCTTGCAAAATGTGCTTTGACTCCCTCTTTATAAATGCCTCGTGTATGTGGCGCATCCCCTTGACCTACGTGCCATCTTTTCTGCTGCAGATGAAGCCGTGGCCACGCACGGAAGGGAGAATGTAAAGATCTACAGCACGTCCTTCACCCCCTTGTACCACGCCATCACCCAGAGGAAGGTTAAATGCGTCATGAAGCTGGTGTGTGTTGGCAAGGAGGAGAAGGTGAGTGGAGGGGACCAGAGGGGACAGCTGGGTGCTGCAGGGGGGTGGTGTGGACCGCGGCTGGCTGTCCTCTTGTACCCACGTGGTCGGCTCTGACCTGCTCAGACCAGGTCTTGGGCTGGGATCCAGCTTCTCCAGCATCAAGCCCGGTGTTCAGCCTGGATTTCACCGGCACTGGGTCCCATCCAGCCTCTTCTTCTCCACAGGTGGTGGGATTGCACATGCAAGGGCTGGGCTGCGACGAAATGCTGCAGGGCTTTGCTGTGGCCATCAAAATGGGGGCCACCAAGGCTGACCTGGACAACACCGTCGCCATTCACCCCACTTCTGCTGAAGAGCTGGTGACGATGCGCTGAGGCAGTGCACGCAGGCAGCCCCAGGGGTGGCAGCTGCAGCTGGGGAAAATGTTTTATCTGTCTTGAAAAATGCCTTAATGTCAGGCAGTTGCCTGGAGAGTGTGTCTGTAAAATTGGCATGGCTTGCTTCGGAGTGGAAAATAAATACGATGATGCTGGCATGTCTCTGCCTTCTGATTTATGGTGCCTGTCCGACCGTGGAGGCTGGTGGCACGGTCCCTTGGCATGGTTTGGGAGAAGGCTGCTGGTGGCCAGGCTCCTCCACTACTGTCCCTGGGACGAGGACTGTGCAGGGAGCAGCAGAGCGGGGCAGGACGATTGGGTGCTTGGGGTATTTGTGGGTGTGAGAATATCCCAGGTGGGCTCTGTCCTCCGCCACGGGCTCATGGAGGGGTACAATGGCTTCACTGTTGGGCATGGCTGCACCAGTGTTGCGTTTGGATGTGGGATCATGGGATGCGGATGTGTCAGCATTGCTGCATTCCAGATCCCCTCCGCTGCCCTGTCGCTCTCTGCTCTTCACGGCTGTGGCTCCTGAGCTTTCAAAGCTTGAGGCAGCTTGAAGCAGCCGAGAGCAAAGCTGGCAGGGAGAGGTGGGGAACAGCGCTGGCTGAGGAACTGCTGGCTTCTGCTTTGCTTTTGCTAGAAATAAATAATTTGCATGAAACCAAGGTATCTCTAAGGTCAAAAACTCCCTGAAACCTAAGGAGGAGGTGAGTGGCCAAAGGAAGGGGATGCTGGTGCTCAGCCCGGGTGTGCAGCTCCAGGCTTTGCTGGGGTGTCTCCATCACAGCCCGCAAAACCGTGGCAGGCAGGAAAATCCTGCCCAGCCCTCCTAACCCCATCAGCATGTATTTAAGGGGTATATTTGACTCCTAGGGGCTCAAGTACAAGCAAAAGCCCAAATATTACTGGTATCCTCAGTTATCTATGTTAGTCTTTGAAAGAGCAATGATTTGCAAGGCTTATTGCTGACTGAGGCACACACTATTTCCTCTGGGTTTGCTACAGGCAATCTTCAGGCACATCAGAGGAGTCATTTGGTGCTAATTTATAGTTAATTGCTCCGTTTGAATCACGGTGACTTTCCCCTCTCAAGTCAATATGCTGTAATGGCATTTTTCCTTTTAAATTACAAGTTTGGTCGCCTGAGTTTAAGGCACATTTTAGAGTGTTTGCGAGATTTTTCGTGTACTTCATAGCCAGAGAAATTATCAAAGTGTCTCAAAAAAGAGAGGCGGGGATGCACAGGCACAGGCAGGGGCTGAGTGTCTGCAGAAGTTTCCTTTTTTGGAGGAAATTGGGAAAAAAAAGCAGAGGAAAGCTGAGCCCCGGGCGTCCCCGTGAGACCACGGTCCCCTGGGATCCCCGGCGGGGGAACCCGATTGCCCCCCCGGGACCGGGACCATGGTGGGACGGGTGACGGGAGGAGGGATACTGGGAGTGGCCTGGGGGCTCTGTCCGAGAGGAGGAGGGGAGACTGGGACCCCCGCCCAGCGCAGCCCGGGCAGGAGCGGGGAGCCCCGGGGGAGAAATGCCCGGCCCGCCCTGCCCTCGGGGACATCGCTCTCCCTTCTCGCGGAGAGCCAGAAGCCCTGGGTGGGCCGGGGGCTGTTGAACCGGGACAGACAGGGGCCGAGCCCTGGTTATCCTCCCAGCTGGGTCCCGGTCCCGGTCCCGGGCACAGTGAGCCCGCGCGTGCTGGGGCGCGGGGCAGGTGCCCGTCGCGCTGCTTCCGCACCGAAAGTCT